AATGATGAGTGTTTTTTTTTTTTGTGTGTTTGTGTACATGATTAGTAGTCGAAATATTGCTTTGATCTTCAACTTCAGTATCTTGTTCGATTGGAAAGTGAATCTAGTTGGTACTTTTGGAAAGTAACAATTTAAAGTTCCCAATAGTTTTCGAAAGGGCCGTGATTAACAAATGAAAAAATAAGGAAAAAACAGGAATTTTTACGCAAAACCAATTTTAGACAAAATCGATTTTGATTTTTGGTGTAACTCTAAAAGAAATAACAGTAGATCCATGAAATTTTGACTGAAAACTGAATGTTTATATAAGCATTTTCTACACCCATGACGTTTTTACATTATTTTGAGTTGTTTACGGACATTTTAAATTTCCAATGTTTTTTTCTATAAATATCAATCAAATTTTATTTGTTGGGTAAAAAAATCTTGAAAATTTAATAGAATGCTCCAAATGTATTGTTTCAAAGGCAGATGAAAAATATAAATTTTTTATAAGCATTCAAAGTTCAAATTTTGACAAAATTGATCAAAATTTCGAAAATGATCAGTCATTGGAATTAAAAAATTATAAAATGTTCAGTTTTTATAACTAAGGGTTGAAAATTTAAAACAAAGATTCTCATAAATAGTTCATACTGTAACCGAAAAATCTAAAAAATATACAAACACATTTATTTTTTACAGACCTTTTAAATTCAAATTTGGACGAAATTACATATTAAAACCAAGAATAACGGTTTTAGTTTTTTTGTTATAGGTAATTTAAAAATATTATTTGTTGGTATATGAAGCTTTTAGAGTATATTGTTATTTTTTATATACACACAATTTCATTTTAAAATGTAATTTTTTTGGGAAAAATGAATTTAACCAATTATAGTAAATACTAATGCCTAATACCAAAATTAATTACTTTATTCACAATAATATCATCAAATACACTTAATAAGATATTATAGAAATATAGACTGACTGACCATCTTCGCTCAGAATCGTTTTTCTTATACAATGATATTATATCATTGGATTCAAATTTAACATAATCCATTACAGTGACTCACTTGTAACCTACTGTACAGCAGAGTGACATCCACTTACCTGTCTTTTTTATTTTGTTTATATTATTATATAAAAATATTGCCCACCACCCCCAGGCAAAGATCGGCTATACTATAGTCACAACTCACAAGTCACTTAGTCACAACACACATGTCATAGTATAACACATAATTACAATAACAATTTCTAAAACCATACCAAGTTTATAATAGGTATATTATTCCGTATCTATATTTTCGCGTACCTATTCGCGTTAACCGTTTACACATACCTATCAGAATATCACAACTACGTACAATACCTCTGAATAATTCTGATTATTAAATCGATTTCGATTAACTTACACTATTCCCAATAATTGTTGTTTGGGTTTTTAGTTTTTACATTCGTATATTAAACAATAGTCAACGGCAATCCAAACACGTCATAGCCCATGGGTATAAAGAAATTCACAAGACAGACACAAGTAGGTCACTGGTCAGTACTCAGTATAGACAGGCAGACAGTATAGACATAGTCACAAGTCAGTAATAGGTACCTATTCAGTATACCTACCTATACTGACTTTAGTGACAAATGAAAATAATAAATTGTCATCGATATCTGTGATCTGTGCCTGTGCTTGTGGTTTACATATATATAGGGTGGGGTTTGTAGGTTGGTTTATTTATTTCAAATACATTTTTAAGAACGATGTATTCAAACCCAAATTTGAACGAGTATCTAGTTTTTGAATTATATTATTATATACTAACTACTAAGGATAGGTCCATGATAATATAGGTTTGGAAAATTTAGGGGCTATGATGATTTGTAAATTATAGTAATTACTAATTAATACTAATCTATCAATATTTATATTTTTCAAAAACTGTTTAATTAAATACCTAACCGTCCTAACCTATACTAGATTAGGGTTGTTTCTCGTTTTAAAAAAAAATAAATATGTTGATATTATTTCAGTTTTTAATAGAAGGGGCAAAAGTTATACCATCACAAATGGGTAGGTGACTTAAAACAACCGGCTGCAAGCACATATTTATATATTATGTTCCTTTTTCCTCATAAAACACATGCATACATACCAACTTTCAGGCACGTCCACACACAACATATAAATAGGTATATTCCAACTATTAATTTTAAGATTCATTCATAATCATCATTATGATTTGTCGCAATAAATCCTTAGTATCTACACAATCTAATATGTTCCTATAAATATAAGCATATTTTTGCGCTAATAACTTATATAATATAATAATGGTTAACCGAAAACCACTGGGCAACCCATGGGTTTTTTTAAAATCATAAAATCAGCCAGGGGCAAATTCCCACCTTGCCACCTCACAAATGATAGCACAGAACATTCCTTAAATGGTGTAAAATATCTATGTAAGTACTAAGTACTTGAAAATATAGCCCTTAAGTAAATTTCACAAGTCCAAAATAAATGACAGAATATGCGTGTGAATCACCCACACCCAGGATATTATATGATTCAACGTGTTACACATATTTTATACGTGTTATTTATTATAACACACTTATGGTAATCGGTCAAAATATCCACGGACAAAATATCCAAACCAAAATATCCAAGGGCAAAATATCCAACGGTCAAAATATCCAAAAGTATCCGTTTTGTCCCAATAACGAATAATGAATTGAGTTTTTAATTGTTGTTGATATAAATATACATAATATTAATAAAGCTTGGGGAGCTTAGCTCTTGGCTAAGTACACGCACCCACGATAAAGGTTAAAAGTAATAACGCTTAAAAAATAAAATAAAATTTTCTATTTTTAAAAAAGCTTTTCTACATTTTTAGAAAATAGGGTAGGACGGTAGGTAGTCATTTTTTAGAGACAATTATTTAATATTTTATTCTATTTTATTGTTCGTATTCTGTATTCATAAAAACAAATTATTTTAAATTTTATTTTATATCATTTGACTAACTGGCTAATGTGTGTGCAGTGTGCAGTATATTTTGAGATACTATTACTATACCAACGTAATTCATATATTATGTAATATATTTATACTTACATTATTTAATTATTATTATATATTTTATTTTTATAATTAAATATTTTGGTATTTGAGCTTTTTTATTAGAAAGTACTTAAAGTTTAATGTAATTATTTACGGAAAAACTGATACATTTGGATATTTTTTCCGTGGATATTTTGACCGTTGGATTATTTTTCGTCTTTGGATATTTTGGTTTGGATATTTAGTCCGTGGATATTTTGTCCTAGAATCCACACTTATACACCATACACGCCATATAAGGGCATAGGCCATAGTTATTCTATTCATTAGTATTACTATAGTAGCTATAATATTATATAATTTATACGGAATATACATCTAGATTCTAAATATTGTATTAACTAACGCAACTAAGAGTTTGCATTTTTAATTAGGTAGGTACCTACTTACTTTAACATTTTCAAAAAAATTATCCACTTAATAATTTAAAAAGAAAGGGGTGTTCTCATTTGAAAAATAAAAGATTTTGTTATCATAGGACACTCCTTAAAAGTATTGAAAATATGGTTTGTAAGTATAGATTCATTATTAAAGGAAAAAGTAGGGGTGAGCATGCTTATATAGTGTATAATTTTTTATCTATATAGTATATATGTACATATATATAATATATTATAGGTAAACGAGAAAGGTCACACTCTGACTAAACACCAAATCTCGAAAACTACTTGACTTATGGAGTATGGAAGCTAATTTTGTATGTAATTAATGTTCCTATAATCTATATAAATAATTAATATTAAAATACATTGCATATTATTTAAATTATCGATACATCAAAACATTAAAATTAAAATACACAAATCAAAATATATTAACCTTAAAATGTTTTTATATAATATGTTAAAATACTAAATATTATAAGAACATTTATATAAAATAACATTTCTTTAGTACGGGCCACGCCGTGCGAGACAGCTAGTATATCTGTATAGGACATAGGTATACTAATAATATTAATATATTATACATTATATAAACAATAGTTTCTCTCTAAAGTACCCAATCTAATTATAGATATGACTAGATGAGGTATACTCACACTAACAGATTAATGAAAAAATGTAAATATGTCAGCATTAAAATTGCAGAATTCAAACCAGTAGTCATTAATTCGAGGGAGTTCCACCCACCCACACACACACTCCAAAAGTTGCCTTAAATTATACAATATGAATATATGATAACTATAAAATAAATGTTACATTGTTATCTGAGATTAAATGTTGTGCTAAAACAAAATGTACCCTTAAAAACTGTTTTGCGAACCTATACCATTCAATACATAATCGTCTAAGTATTACAATATAATGGTCTTTCATTTTTTAAAAATAATTTTATAATAACCAAAACTAAAACAAAATTCTTAAAAATATACAATATAATAGGTTTAAAATTGAAAAAATTAGAAATTTTACAAGCATCACTTAATTATCACTATTACTCCTATAGTTTATATTTTATAAATATTTTTAACTTATAAATGCTATTTTATAGTTGAATAAATTAAAATATATTTATTAGTATTTACGTATTTTTATAAGTTTTAAAATTACCGCCAAAATCTGGGTATTTAAATGACGAAGGAGATTATAGTTAGTATGGGATCTATATGTCTATGAGGTTCTAAATGTCCAAGGGGATCCAGTTGACGTACGGGGATCTACTTGTCGCGGGATCTAGGTGGTACGTAACCCCATGGTCCCCATGGCTACATTAATAAAATAGAGGGACTTGTGCCGGAATGGGGCAATTTTATATACAATACTTCTCACAATATTAAGATTGGTCATGGGTGATTTCTTTTTTACTCGTCTTACGTTAAACACGTTTCCTAGTGAATTTAATTGTAATTTAATTGTAATACATTAATACTTTCAAAATGCCAAGTTGTTTTGTGTGTGGTCGATCGAGTAATTCCAAAAACAAAGATCTTGGAATAAGTTTCCATCAGTAAGTATAAGAATAATAAGTTATAATTATTAATTTCATATTTTTACAAATTTTATATTTAATATACCTATATTAATATTTTTTTTTTATTATTTAAGAATTCCAAAGAATGAGAATCATCGAGCTCAATGGTTGGATTGTATTAAAAAATGTGGTGTTGACCATTTAAAAACTAAACCTAAGAGCATTATTTGCTCTGAACATTTCACCATGGGTTGTTTTAAAAACTATAATCGTACAAAATTATTAAATGAAACCGCTGTTCCATCCATTGTAGTTAATCGTGTAAAATCAGTATGTTTAAAGAATAATTAAAATTTTGTTTTATTTAATATCATCTCATTTTTGTTATTGTATATACTTTTTATTTTTTATAGGCAAAAATTGAAATTCCTGAGGTGAGTTGTAAACTTGGTAGCAGTAACTCAAATCCTTGTTCTGTTAAATCAATAATTGTAAGTATAACAGTATATACTAAAATACTTAAGTCATATAAGTATATATTTTAATTTTTAAATATTCTTCTTATTACCTACATATTTATTAACCAATTACAATTTTAAATTTATGAAAGGTTGACCATGATGGTATTCAAATGGAAGGTGTTCAACCAATTGATACATTAAGTGTTCAGCAACCTTCATGCTCCTCAAATGCCATTTTTACTGACTGTAGCCAGTTGACATGTGAACCATCAAAATCATTTTTAAAGAAGCCCCTTACTCAAAAAGTACATATAAACTTAATAAAATATTAAAATAATTTTGTCCATTATATTGTAATGAAATTGTTTGTTTGTTGTAGGTAAATTCTAGACTTTTGAATGCTGAAGTTGTGAAAGAAATTAACAATGATACGCCAAGAAAAAATTATTTAAAAAGAACAATATCTTCTTTAATGCAAGAAAACAACAGTCAGAAGAAAAAAATCAAGATTCTAAATCAACAAATAAGACGTCAAAAAAAAACAAATTTCCTCATTAAAAAGTATTTAGATATTTAGATATTTTATACATAGTTTATTATACAACAGCTTAAAAAAAAATAAAAATAATTTCACAATTATAACTCCTATAGATATAGTAATTATTAATATATCACATTGTGCATATTGTTTAAGATGTTGTTCAAGTTTTGAAAAATAAAAATTTAGTCCATCAAGATCAAGCAGACATGATAGACAGTAATTTTAGTAAGCATAAAGATCTTATAACAGGGGCGTAGCGTGCATGTAAGCACTGTAAGCACTGCTTTCACTTTAAATGAAAGAAAAAATAAATTTGATCAATCACGACTAATAGATACATAATAAATGATTTTTAAAATTTTAATTTTATTTATAAAATATTTAAGTTATAGCTGGTAGTGGTTTTGTTATTGTTTATTTGTGTCGTACGCTGTCTACTGATTACCAACTATTTTAAGAAAATCATCGATTGTAGGTCTATTTTTAATCCATTCTGTTTTACGTTAACTGCATAATCATAATACGATATACAGTGTAACACATTCTGAAATTGCTTACGCGCAACTGTTGTTTTCGAATAGTCTATAATGCCATAGTGGGGGTCAGTGGGTCACGTATTTAACTAGCGTTTGTAAGCACATTTGATTTTGCTTACGCGAGAAACAAGGAGCGACCAGTACGTAACCCGGCGAGTTTTAGACTGTAGTCGTTTTTACGTACACTAGCTGTCACTGTCGTTCGCCTAATAGACTTTTGAAGTATTTATACTTCAATTTCTTTATTTTCTCGAATTTGATTTGTACAACTAGTATATTTTTAAAAATATTAAAAATTTTAAAAGGATAACATTCTTTTATACATAATTTATAATTAGGTATTTAGGTATAGTACCTATATTCTGATCACTTTTGAAAAAAAAATTTCACTGCCTACATCTTTTTAATACCCACGCCACGCCACTGTCTTATAACTAATTTTATTAAAAAAAAGGCTGGACAAAAACTGCCTGTAAAGTATAGTGCTGAACTAAGAAAATTTGCTATCACGCTTAATTTTTATTCTCCAAAAGCATATCGTTTTGTGCGTGAAGAATTTAATTCTGTGCTTCCTTGTCCGAGAACGCTTAGCAAGTGGTATTTACATGTTGATGTTGAGCCTGGTTTCACTAAAGAAGCTATTAACACACTATCTTTAGTTTGTAAGAATTCACCCACTCAACTTTATTGCTCATTGCTCATGGATGAAATGGCAATTAGGAAGCATGTTGAATGGGACGGTACTACTTATCACGGCTACATCAATTTTGGATCAAAATATTTTCACTATGGGCCAATTTTGTCAATATATACATATTTTAGGGAGCTGGGTGGTTATAAATTATAATTACGACATAGGTATACAATATAAATAAAAATTGAGCAATTTCATTTTATAATTACGTAAAATTAATTTTTTTACTCTTTTTTTAAAAAATATTGACAATTTCATATATACATATATATTATATATATATTTTTATGTTATCTTACTGTGAATTTAACATCAAACTCATCAAAGCAAGTCCTGACAATCATTTCCTAGTGGATTTCTCAAAAACGATTTTAATCAACCGGTTAAATTAATCATGGTGAAAAACTGTAAGTAGTGTAGAATGTAGATATACCTACATAATACATGAAATACTTAAATTGAACCTGCAATTTCAGTATGGGCCCTGGCCTAGGGGGCCTCCCCCCTATATACGCCACTGGTCACTTGAGTGATTTGAATCATTCAGAAAAATCACAGAACAATCAGAACGAATCAGTCAAATGATTCGGTCATATATCATCGATGGGATAAACCTAAGAATTTATTGTATTAATAAATCATAGACTAATTATTGTCTTATTATTTATGTAATAAATTTATTATGTTCTATCACAGTATAAACTATAAAGAGTATTATAATATATTATTATTTATAGTGTGGTCACTGGTTCTATCTTATATGACATTATAGTATTAGTGTATTTCTATAATTCCATGTATTGCAGTCATGACTCGTGAATACTATATAGAATAGAAATAGAATATAATTCTAGTAATTTAGACATCTAGTCTTCATGATTATAGTGTTATAAATTATAATAATTATACTACTTGACGGAGCATCTGGACAATGCGTGGGCGGGTGGAGTGGTCTCGTGTTAGATAAGTTGCAGTTTATAGTTATAATAATAGATATAATTAAAATTATTTTAAAATCGAAACCTTCTTGTCTGCATGTGTTGTGTACGTTGCTCATCAAGTGCAGAGTACTTACATCAGACCTTTGGAAGTACAGCTGTGCTACGTTTAGACCGTATAGTACAGTAGTACACTATACCCATAGAATGTTCTATGTTATATTGTTCTACGTCTAGGTATACCTAATGTCTATAATTTGTATACATATCTATTTCTTAATTATTTTAGAAACCAGTAATTATTATAATATAAAATACATCCATAGTGATTAGTAATTACCATTTTATTAAGTAATAAGTTATAACTGTTATAAGTTATAGCAATCAAGGATATTAAGGATGGCTCTAACTTTCAGAAACTGAAGTCAATATTAAACTAAAATGTTAAATTAGTTTTAGTCAAATCTAATATGTTTTTAAATATAGTTATACTATAGTCCAAATATTAATAATCAGATTTCTAGTATTCAAAATTTTCTGGAATTGTACATGCGGCTGTGTAATCTGGTTGCAGTAAGATAATTGCAAGTCCCACATCTGGGTATAGTCAAATCATAATTATGAAACTGTCACAGACCCATACAGTTGTACATTACCAACCTCCCTATAGTATTCACAGGAAGACAGAAGTGCTGAAGTTCTAAAATTTAACTCTGGCCAAAATACAATAACCCTAAGCCTCTTATGGTTGGCCACAAGTCTACAATTTAAAATTTTGTATAGAAAAACAATTTGTGAAAGTATAATTTGTTTGACTTCCAAAAGAAATATTGTTAATGCAATGTAACATAATTTATATACAATCCATTAATATTTATTAAGGGTAATTTAATTTGAGTATTTTATACAGTAAAACGCAGCTATGTATATTAAAGTAATTTATTATGTAAACATATTATCTAAAGTCTAAACTATATAAATAAATATGCATGTATCCCTTATTTCCACTAAGTAATCAAACATGTTCTATTTTTTATTATAGTTTGAACCCCTCCACATTTTTAAAAAAATTGTTAAACTGACCTACACATAGGGATTGGTGCCATCATTGATTATAGAATAATGAAAGAAGCGCTACAGAAAGAAGATAAATATGTGAATAAAGATTAAACAGAGCATACACATTTTTTATGAATACTATTAACTATACCGTACTGTCATGGTACATACTACATATTAAATAGGTATAACTATAATATTAAATAGTGCTCAGCATTATCCACTGTTATTGATCTTGAAAAAAACAAAAAATTAAACGAAACAATAATGGTTGCAATATTATTTAATTATATATTGTATAATCAATCTAAACATATATAAACTATTATACTATTTATTTCCACATGGTTATTAATTATCACATTTTATTTACTTATGTTTCTGAATAATTTGGTAGTAATATTTTATTTTAATATAAACAGACATCTGAAACTCAAACTTTGTTTTTCAAATCAATTGTATCATACAAGTCAGTTCTTCTTTGATTTTCAGTGGGTATTTGCTGTCTCATGTTTTCCCGATCACCAAAGTCTATAAGAATTAAACAACACTTTTAATTTAAGATTTAACAGAAAAATAAAATCATATTTACCAAGATCTACATATAGATCCATATCTTTTTCAGAAGCTTCTTCTAAAATTTTACCCCATGGATCGACAACCATGGAATGACCCCATGCCACATAATTAGAATCGGTAACTCTGGCTGGTGAAGCAACAGCTACAAATGCCTGATTGTCTACTGCTCGGCATCTAGTTAATAGGCTCCAATGTAAAGGCCCGGTTGTCATATTAAAGGCACTGGGGTAGATTAACATATCACAACCTAAAAATCAAAATCTATAGTGATGTTAATTATAATATTTATTAACTATTAAGTAATCAGCAAACCTTGTTTTCGGTATATTGCTGCCATTTCTGCAAATCGTATATCATAGCAGATCCCTAGACCGATTTTAAATTTTCCCAACTGAAATGTATTTAGTGCATTCCCAGCTGCTAGAGCATCAGATTCTTTGAAGCAAACCCCACCAGGAATATTTATATCAAATAAATGCACCTATATTTGTATATATATATTTTAAATACATATTACATAGCATGTACGGTGCAATTTTGATGATTTTAACCAATATTAGTAAGCAATCAAGATTATATTTAATTTTTTGGGTCTTGGCTTATTTTGCAATATAAATAAAATAAATAAATGAATATTCACTTATATGTTTATTATATTATAGCCATGTTTAACTGGGGTACCTACAGTTCTCTGAACCAGAAATATTTTATTTCAATTATATTATATTTGACTTCAGTTAATATTTTAATTATTATAACTGTACTCAAAGGTGGTCACTTCTTGGTTATGAAATATCAAATTTGTATAATACTTTTCTGTGTTTGGCTATCAGGTTTCCATTTGGATCCCAAACTGTACACGTGTTGTACACTTTGTCATCACATATCTCTGGGATCGAACCACCTACAATATACATTTCATTTGATTTGGCAGCTTGAGACAAAGCTTTACATGTATCACCTCCAGGAATAACTTCCGAGTATTCTCTGAACAGAGCTAAAATAGAAATAATATAATTAGATAATAATTATGGCATTTCAGGTACCTACTTGGTTAAATAATTGTATTTTTTAATTTTTAAATGCTTAGGAGGATGTTGTAACCGCTTGTGTTATCTGCGTTTTACTAACGCATAACATGGCAAAATTTACATTCATTAGTTCAAAATTTGTTTTGATAGTTTCTAAACAAACACTAATAGCTTGAATGCAATGCTTTGTGAATGTTTTATTATAAAAAATGTATTCATTTAATGGTTTACTAAAACTGTGCTCTAAGTCATGTTTAAGCGCCCATTAGCTCGCTACAATTGATTCATTTAATGTTAAGTGATGTTTATGTAACCCACCGTCAGACTATAATATTATATACCTACTTACCAGTGTTATATGGAGAGTTAAAGCATTCTGGTAATATGGCTAATGTGCACCCATTCAGTTTGGCTTGTTGTACACGTTTTATTGCGTTGGCCACATTTGTCGACTTATCGGCTGTGACAGTCAACTGCAGTAAGGCCACTCGAAAACCTAAAACAAATATCAAACATCATGCTACAAACAAGTAGGTACCCATGATGGCAAAATAGAATAGTATAATTTTACAACAATTACCAGAAGAACTCGACGAAACCATTCTGACTTGGGCGAATAATGTGATTGTCTGTTGCAATAGTTTTCGACCAACAAACATTTATGAGCAACGCCCGCCGTTCACTGGTATGCTGTGGTATTAATTTCTATAATTCTATCTGACTTATTTTCGATAAGTCGCTAATACCAATTGGTTTTAATTTTATTATTAGTTATTAGTTATTACTATTTAGTATTTACTGTTAATATGAATCATAACTTAATACTTATGAACTAATGATATCAGACATGGTACTATTGCAGTATTGCAGTCATTAAAGTCTTATATAATTAATAAATTAAAATAGGTACCTATATCATTAATTATTATTATGCATGCACCCGCGGAGTGACAAGAACGCCGGTGATAAGAAACTCGGCCGATTTGAAATGTTATCAATTAAGGGGGCTGGAGCGTGATTCATTTTCGGTCAAAAACATAGCTCACGACTTCAATCACTACGCCCAATATAATGTTTTGATTTTAATTTTGAAAGCAGATTTGAATTCGTCACTAAATTACCTATGCTTTGACAATTTTATTTTTCTGATTTTTATTTTTTTTTACTTAGGAATTTACTAACAAAAAGAGTAAAAATTGATCATTTTTATAATTCAAATTTAAATCCATTGATATTGAATATGAAAAATGTACGACAGTCAAAGCATAGTAAATTTAGAGGAGAATTCAAATCTGCTTTCTAAATTTAAATCGGAACATTCTACTAAGCGTAGTGATTGAAGTCATTGGCCGTATTTTTTGAAAAAAAAAATGTTATTAATTTTATAAGCCAATATGTTGTTGACATGTGCATGCGCGTAGGTAAAATCACAGCCGTACATATCCGGTCACTATGATGCCCCTATACAACGTAATCGGTATTATTCGGGGAATCACACACAATTATTTAATGATTATTATTTATTAGTACCTATTGTAATATTATGTACAGAATATATTATATAAAGGTATAGGTAATAGGTTTTATTTCCGTGGTATTATAATATTCATTATGATTATTCAATAAAATTATATTTTACATTATACAGGTATACCTGTTTAAAAATGTTTGTCTAGACACTCGATGTATTGATATTTTTATATATTTTTATATTTATATTTTAGATTCTGAGCGGAGCGATGAATGTATTGGTTTTACAATGATGTATGTTTTTATATTTTTATATTTTTATATTTTTTTTTGTGTCTGTCATCACGTTTTGGGGCAGTAAAAGTGCTTCGATTTTCTTCAATAGTACCTTTTCTGATAGGAAAGTGAATCTAGTTGGTACTTTGGGGGGTCAAAAGTAAACATTTTCCAGTAGTTTTCACAAGCGCCGGGAAAAACAACATAAAAATTAAGGAAAAACGGGAATTTTTACGCAAAATCGATTTTCCAAAAAATCGAATTTGGTTATTGGTGTAACTTTAAAACAAATGACCGTAGATACATGAAATTTTCACTGGTTGTTTATATTTGCATTTTCTATACACGATAACATTTTCAAAATATTTTGATTTATTTTGAACTGTTTAGGGACATTTTCATTTTTCATTTTATTTTAGTTTTTTTTCTAGAAATATCAATAAAATTTTATTTGTTGGTTGCGAAAGCTTGAAAATTTAATAGAAGGCTCCTAATATGTTGTTTCAAAGGCAGATGAAAAATATTAAAAATCCTTAGTCACAATTTTTTTTATAAGCATTTAAAGTTCAAAAATTGACAAAATATGGAAAAATCACGAAAATTAGCAAATTATTTTGAGTTAAGAATTCGTAAAAATTTTTCTTTTTAAATCTAAGATTTGAAAATGAAACACAAGATTCCTTATAAGATTATCTACCTTTATCAATAAAAAAATCTCTACCGGACAGTCAAATTAAATTTTTATGAGCGTTTGAAATTCAAATTTTTACAACATTGGATTTTCACTCGATTTCTCATGTAGCGATTTCCTTATTTTGTTGTAATTCAAAAACGAATAACTGTAGATACATGAAAATTTCACTGAATGTTTATATTAGCATTTCATATACACCATACAATTTTGAAAATATTTTGACTCTTTTTGAGCTGTTTATGGACATTTACAGCTTTCAATTTTTTTTAGTTTTTTTTTCTATAAATATCAATAAAGTTTTATCTGTTGGGCCAAAAGTGTAAAAATTTAATACAAGGCTCCTGATATATTGTTACAATATCAGTTGAAAAATATTAAAAATACATAGGCACGATTTTTTTTTATAAGCATTTAAAGTTGGAATTTTGACAAAATTTATCAAAATCTCGAAAATTATCAATCGTTGGAATTAAAAAATTATAAAATGTTCAGTTTTTATAACTAAGAGTTGAAAATTTAAAACAAAGATTCTCTTAAATAATTCATACTGTAACCAAAAAATCTAAAAAATATATAAACACACTTATTTTTTACAGACATTTTAATTTCAAATTTAGACAAAATTTCTTATTTAAACCAAGAATTACGATTTTAGTTATTTTGTTGTGATTGAATAATACTATTCGTGGGTACTTGAAACTTCTAAAGTGTACTATTATATATCTATGATAGTATCACGGTTTTTGTTGATGTATAACGCGTTATAAGTATCTAATGGATATTGTGATATGATTAATTTGGAATTTATTATAGGTACCTATTATAGGTCAATTTTTTGTTTAATACCATAGATATGTATATAATATGCCTTATACATAGACTGACATACCATCACCGCTCAGAATCGTTTTTCTTATACAATGATATTATATCATTGAATTCAAATTTAATACCATCCATTATACAGTGACCCACTTGTAACCTACTGTACAGCAGAGCGACACCCACTTGCCCACCTTTTTTATTTTATAATATATGGTATAACTTTCAAAATATTTTGATCTTTTTGAGCAATTTATCATACTGAAAGTTTACAAATTATTTCGCAGTTAAAAATGTTCAATTTTTTTAGCTAAGGAAAAAATATATTTAAAAATTTAAAAAAGATTCTACGTAAGTAGTTCATACTGTAACCAACAAATTAAAAAAAATATATAAAAACAGTTTTTTTTTTACAATTATTTGAAGTTCAAGGTGGTCGAAATTAAGTATACCTATGTAGTGCAGTAATTAAAAAAAACCATTTACTATGAAGTATTATCTATTATTTATTACCATTTAATTAAGTACAATAATATTATTATTATGTTATCGTAATTAGGTAATAGTTATTGTAAATTCGGTGAATTGCAGCATGTCTAATGACAATGGCTATTATGTTAAACCAGTTTTTGAACGGATAGTGAGTTCGGAGAGTACACAATTACGAATTACACACACTAATGTTCATTTACTTCCAACACATTGACATGGACCCATATGCACTGCAATATAAATTGCCTAGTTTTTACTCCTTAGAATGGACTACGCTCCAGCCCCCTTAAAATCAATTTACCTACCGTGTTAAATGTCACCAAACCCGTAGAGCAGGGGTCACCAACTGGAGTACCACCACAGTACCACGGTCCACATCCGGACACATTCAGACACGGACCCTAATGGCTGCTTGATTAAAAAAGACATAATATAGTTTTTGCATAACATTTTTTTATAATAAAATTACGAATAAAAATATTTTTTGATATTGCGAGTATGATATACAATATACATATAATATATTATTATACATATATACGTCATGTCTCCTTCACCAAGTGTTACGTTGAAAGGCCATAGGTGCAAAAATTAATTTCGAGAAGTTTACTGATATTTACTTTAGTAAAGTTAGACGCTCGTGCCGCTCCATTATCGTATGTCAAAAAACAAAATCTAAGGATTGTCAAAGTACGTTTTATTACAATTTAGTTGGATTTTTAATGTGTGAAAAAAGTAATTTGGTTTTTAAACGTGTCTTGGACCGTGGGAAGTTTGCCAAGTTTCAAAACGGACCCCCGTAGAAATTAGTTGGTGACCCCAGCCATAGAATAATATTACTCCATAAAGTTTGAAGACTAGAATATATTCTACTCAATTCTAGGCTTCATGAATATGACTAAACCACGATGGCACGATTATAAAGAATATAATTAGATTTTAGATAGCTTTAGATAGTATCGAACAGTTAATGTCGGGGGGGGCACGGACCCTATGGCCCCCTCCTTAAATACGCCGCTGTAGATATAATATTATAGGTATATTAAATTTTATATTCGTAGAAAACGTTATTTTTAAGTTAAATATTGGGTCTATCAATATCACAGATATCTATATTGTAGGTATTATATAGATAGCGAACTCCCCGCATGAATTGAAGCATCAAAGTCTAGGGGAAATTGTATGGTAAAAACATTAACACTATGATTTATCTTGTATTGTATTTTTATTATTTCTAAACCTGTTGTTTGTAAAAAATAAAAAATATTTTGTATAAATCATTTTAAATTTAATATTTTATTTTACCATTAAAAACGATGTTATTCCTAATATATTTTATATAATGAATGGAATGTTTTGCCCCCCGAGAAAATGGCGGCCGTCCACATCTCGGCTTCACTTGATAACAATGTAAATTATATAGGAGCACAATTTAAGATATACTCTAGATCGTGTATAGGAGGTAGGTACCTTATCTAGCTAGTATGGATAATAATTAGGTATCTGTGATTACTGATTAATATTTCATAGTAGAAAATAGGTACCTACCTATGTATATGTACATAAATAGACGGCTGTCGACTCGGCCTCATGCATTAGATAGGAATTTTATTGTTTAGCGATTATGGTCAATTAGATACTCACCTAGTGACGTATCAGTTCAAATTTAATGTTATTTGCAATAAGTTATAAATTTACTTATTTGCATAGTTAGCTTACCCGGCAAATACTTTGCTATTGTTAGGTTGCATTATATATTTATATAGCTAAATTGTATTGCTCAACGTTGCCCGGAAAAAAATTGTGATAGTTCAATTCCTTTTGGTTGTAACACCCTGTGAAAGCAATGTCTTTTTAAGACGTGTAAATTATATTATATTTTAATTTATAGTCATCCCGACCGGCGTTCTCCGTGATATTCGCTTGTGATTATGCGATCAGTATATATTATCAGGTAGGCCTGTTATACCTGCGGTATATCGCGGACCCCATGTGGTGCTTAAGTAAATGTATAATTTAACTCTAAAGTATCAAAAAATGAAAAAAAATTGGTTCACCAAAACCGTGTTTCGAACTCTAGACCTTCTGTACTAAAATACACAGGCTTATTGTATTAATAATAATAAATATTTACCTGTTTGAGAACCTCCCCGGGTTTAGTACCTTTTTTTCGTGACAAAATGTAGCCTATCCTCTTCACCAAGGTCTAATCGGGCAAGACCCCGTTCGCCCAAAAATGACCCTTCGCTTTTTGCCCACGTCTCTTTTTGCCCAAATATTTTAAAACTACTTTCCCTTTTCGCCCAAGAATATTTAATAGCACTTTCCGACCAAATTTTTATAATACACACTTTGGGAAACACTTACTTTAAATTATTTATATCTCACTATCTTAGTATCCAACATAATAATAAATTTGTCATATTTAAATTTATTTATTTGTGTTGATTAGTTTTATAAAGCTATTTACACCCAGAGGGTACCACGAGGAGGCGACTTCTCTTACTCTCCAAAAATGTATTGTGTTTTTGTACATTAATATAATTTTTATATAATATAAGTAAGTTTTTATCAAAAGTATAAATCGTCAAAATTTTGATGACATTGATTATTTATGTCTATCATATATCTACAAACGACCGCTTAATATCTTAATCTTATCTTTATAATATTTGGAAACTATAAGTATATAATTTCTACAATGGTCCGCCGTGTAGATATATCGATCTCAGAGTAGTCTGTTTATTATTTTACAAAGATAAGAAGATAATAATTAAACAGTTTCGTCCACATTCGAGGCGAAGTGTTCCAGTGCGTTTTTCGACAGAAATGTTATATTAAACATTGAGTGCAGTTTCGTTTACTTTCGAGTCGAAGTGTTCGAGTGCGTTTTTCGACAGTTATTTTTTTATTAAACATTGTTGACGATTTTATTATTTTTGTAAATTTAAGTAAAATTATGGAGTTCTTAGAAAGTAAACGAGGATGTCGTATGGTATTGTATAATAATTTTAAGTATAACTTTGGATCGACAAGTAAAAAAGATGGCTCTACTCGTTGGAGATGTGTTACGAGAACTTGTAGTGCACTAATATACACAGACAAGAATGATATTTTTCTGTCAACAACTGGAGAAATAAATGGCTTTATAAAACTAATTAACACAAATAAATAATTTAAATATAACAAATTTATAATATATTATAAATAATTAAATAATTTAAAGTAAGTGTTTCCCAAAGTGTGTATTATAAAAATTTGGTCGGAAAGTGCTATTAAATATTCTTGGGCGAAAAGGGAAAGTAGTTTTAAAATATTTGGGCAAAAAGAGACGTGGGCAAATAGCGAAGGGTCATTTTTGGGCGAAAAGAGTACCGCCCGGTCTAATCTATCTCTGTACCAAATTTCATCGCAATCGGGTGAACGCTTTAGAAATGTATAAATGACATAGGTAGAAACAAATTTGAATGATGACACTGTTAATACATTACAATGAAACGTATTAATCACTATTTTACCAGCCCAACAAATGCTAAAAAAAAATCCTACAACTAAATCTGATGCTATTGACACTAAAAATATAAGTTCCATCCCGTAAGGTTAAACTAAATTAAACGTTGATTAAAAATTATTTTTGATTAATATTTAGTGCAAATAACATGCAAATATTTTTTTTTAACTAACCAAATGTAAATTTTAAATTATTAAGATTCTTGGTATGGAATTCTGCCGAAGGGCTGGGGGAGTATAGAGACATGCAGAAGCCCTATACAGTCTCTACAAGTTTCTCATAGAATAAATAATGGAAAATGACACAAGGGCCCACAACTGGCATCGAACCATAGTGGGCACTAGTGTTAAAATTTTAGGCATTATAAACATCTAACATCTAAACTACCAATATAGGTACTGTATAGTATAATATACAGTAATATTGTATTATCTCATCACTCATCGCCCACTCGCATTAACTTGCATTTACTTATTTTTTTACAATTTTTCTTATTTATTTAATGTTAAGGTATTGATGCGTAGATATTGTCTATTTTAATATTTAGCTATATAAATATATAATATACTTTTATAGTGTTATACATTTACTATAAAGTATATTTCACGTTAGACAAAAATAAGAGAAGGTATATGATTATAATATGATATTTATATTTATAATATATTATAGATATTTGCTTTTATTTAATTAATTAATCAGATTTTACATTTTTTTTCTTACTATAACTATTAAATTTCTTAAAATATATGATTAAAATAATTGCCATGTTCCGATTTCCAAAAATGCCATTTAGACTATATTATATAGGTCTCAGTCGATGAACCAAAGTTGTGTTACTTTTTATTTTTCACATCAATTGTGTCGTATATGTCAGTTCTTCTTTGATTTCCAGTGGGTATTTGCCGTTTAATGTTTTCCCGAATTGTAAAATCTATACATTTTATTAATAACAATACGTTTAATACAAAATTCGTTTTTAAACAGAAAGATCTGTCCAAGATAATAAATATCATACTTACCAAGATCTACATATAAATCCATATCCTTTTCATTAGCTTCTTCTACAATTTTACCCCAGGGATCCACAACCATTGAATGTCCCCATGCTACGTAATTAGATTTTGTGTCTCTGGCCGGCGAAGCAGCAATTACAAATGTTTGATTTTCCAATGCTCGGAATCTAATTAATAAGCTCCAATGTGGTGGTCCAAGCTCCGTACAGAAAGCACCAGGGTATATCAACAAATCACATCCTTAAATCCAAAATATATAAACATTAAATAATAAATAATACGTAAACATATATAATTTATTTAATATTAGGTATGTATTATTATTTATTCACATTGACCTTATAGTTTATACTATAACAGATAAATGTTTTTACCAACAAAATTGCTCTTATAATCAGATTCACAAATTGGCTAATTTGAATTCTTCCAAAAAAATTAAATCAAATTTTTATTTTTTATTTTCAGTACCTATTAAAAAAATATTTATCATTTGTATATTATACGTGTAGAGCAAAAATTTAAAATATTGATTAGAACAAAAGTTATTTCATCTGTCTGGTCTTCCTAGCTGTTAAACTCTGTATACCGTGTGTCCCAAAAATCAGGGGCCACTTTACTACTCATTACCATGTAAATATTTTTGAATTCTGTTAGCCGGACATTAAACTAAACTAATGGATCGTAAATTTTTTGACTCACAATGTTTTTAACTTATGTATCTTGCGCATGCGCAATAAGACTTACATTTTTTTTAAATGGCAACCCGTAATTTTAATATCATATTCGGGTTCATCGATTTTTTTCAAGCCATTTTGATGTATCAACTTATGTCCTAAACCCAAAATTGACTAAACTAGAGCTAAGTATAATTTAAATAATTTAAAAATTCAATTTAATTAATTTTTTTTTCTAACTGTACGTACTTATTTTTTTCTTAGTTTATTGAATAGTTTATGTCTGTAATTTCTGTAAATTAAATTGTAAATAAAAATGTATAGTAATGGTGAAAAAAATAAAATAGAAATGTTGTTTCTTGAAAATACATGTTTAAACTATGTTATTTTATAATGCGTAATAATAAAATAAGATAATAATTCATAAATAGTAAATAATTAGGTAATTAGTTTAATAATAATAATTTTGATTGTTTGTTTGTTTGTTTCATGGTAGAAGAAAAAAATAAGTACGTACAGTTAGAAAAAAAAACTAATTAAATTGAATTTTTAAATTATTTAAATTCTACTTAGCTCTAGTTTAGTCAATTTTGGGTTTAGGACATAAGTTGATACACCAAAATGGCTTGAAAAAAATCGATGAACCCGGTATATATCACCGCAACACAAATTTCAAGGACCACACTACCCAACCCTGCCATCCTTACATAATCCTTCTGCTTGCACAAGGTTTATGCGTATTCGCAATGAATAATGAGTAATGACAAACCTTGTTTTTGGTATAACGCTGCCATTTCTGAAAATCTCATGTCATGACAAATACCCAATCCAACCTTTAGTTTTCCCATTTGGAACGTATTAAGTGTATTTCCTGGAGACATAGCATTAGATTCTTTGAAGCAGGTACTACCGGGGATATTTACATCAAATAAATGAACCTGTAAATAAGTTTTTTCGTAAATTAATCACATCTTACCTATACATTTTCCAGACATTATAAATTGAAATAAATATTAAAATAATAATGTACGTATGTATAATGTGACATTCGAAAAATTGAAAAATATAATTATTATAAAGTACCTACTTAAGTATTTATAATTTAAAATATTAATATAGTACTTTTCTATGTTTGGCTATTAGGTTTCCATTCGGATCCCAAACCGTGCACGTGTTGTAGACTTTGTTATCACATAACTCTGGGATTGAACCTCCTACAACGTACATTTTATTTGACTTGGCAGCTTGTGACAAAGCTTTGCATGTTTCACCATCGGGAATGATTTCAGCGTATTTTCTAAACAAAGCTGAAAAAAAAACAATAATGGAATTAGATTAAAAATCTCCTGGTCAATTACAGATTACTCAAATTGAAGTTAGTTTATTTTGATAACGGTCTATCGCTGGTAAATGCATATCATATGGGTAGGTGCTTATGTATAACTACTTGAATCAATTATTTTAAATTGACTGGAACATTTTATAATATATTGCAAGATATTAAGATCAATTTTATATTAGATACCTATTATATATATATATATATATATATATATATATATATACACGCATATTTTTCCTTTGTATTGCTTTGCAGTATGTTGTTAATATTGTTAAATTAAAATGTATTTGAATGATTTCAAATTAATATGCCTATTTTAAATTAATAATCAGCAATAATTTGTTTATCACTGTATTCTAACACTACCTATTTTTGTTTAAGAACAAGCTTATAAATATTTATTATAACAACTTTAATTCTGATATAAAGTTTTTGTTGATATATAATTATTATATTGCAATAATTATACTTCTACTAGTTTTACATACATTCGATTCACCATACATCATACACGTATGCCTATCTACTTCACATTTTCACTTTTTTTTGATTTTAATTAACGTAAATTATAAAATTCGTTTTGGTATGTGTACTGTGTAGTTGTTGTATTTTAAGTTATTTTAATTAGTTAGAAGGTACACATTTTCTACAGATTTAACTATTGTATACTGTTAAGTTTATAGATACTTATAATTAATAAAAAAAACCCAAATTAAACACTATTAAAAATGTGGGTAAGTGGATGTCGCTCTGCTATACAGTAGGTTACAAGTGGGTCACTGTATAATGGATGGCATTAAATTTTAATTCAATGATATAATATCATTGTATACGAAAAACGATTCTGAGCTTAGATGGTTTGTTAGTGTGGATATATATTTTATATTATATTTATAGTGTTATTACTTATTAGTTATTAGTATTATTATTCGGTAGCTGGTAAGTTGAATTAACATTATAAAATTAAACAAAATAACTAAAATCGTTATTCTTGGTTATTTAATATGTAATTTCGTCCAAATTTAAACATAAAATAACTATAAAAAAAACAGTGTTTTTATTTTTTTGTGGTTTTTTGGTTACGGAATAACCTATTTACGTGGAACCTTGTTTAAAATGTTCAATACTTAGCTATAAACGTTGAACATTTTATACATTTTTAATTATATAAACATTTTTATATTTTAAATTTGATAAATGTTGTCAAAAATCTAATTTTAAATTTAATGCTTATAAACAAAAATTGTGTCTATGTACCTATTTTTAATAGTTTTCAACTACTATTGTAACAATATATCAGGAGTATTGTATTACATTTTCATGCTTTTTGACCCAGCAAATAAAATTTAATTGACATTTATAGAAAAAAAAAACTAAAAAAATTGAAAACTGAATATGTCCGTAAACACCTCATTTGATCGAAAACCGATTTTGAGTAAAAATAATGTCTATCTTTAATCTAATTTTACCATTATCGTATGGTGTAGTGAAACATTCTGGTAGTACGGCTAATGTGCAACCATTCGACTTTGCTTGCTGTATACGCTTCACGGCGATGGCTATGTTTGCTGATTTGTCGGCAGTGACGGACAACTGCAATACGGCCGCTCGAATATCTATAATAGGTAGGTAATATTTGAATATTAACAAATTAACAATATTATGTTAGATATTAATATATGTACGTAGTAACTTATATAGTTATATATATATAACATGTTAAATTTATAAATTTTGTTTATCACCTGAAGAAGTTGGAGAAGTCATTTTCACTTTTATAGAAGTACCAATACTCGATTGACTGATCTAATACTTTTAGACCCTCTGGCCTCTGGCAAGCATTTATATACCTATAGTACCTACCTATGTATGAGAGATTGTGTAATATTTTTAGAGATTCACCTACAGAGTTCAATTCTGGTATCTATAAGTCCACTTTTAGCAGTGATAAGCATTATAGTATTTTAACCGTTTTAACAACTCAACGCGGTCATTATAATCTTATTGCCTATTTCTGTTTTTTTTTTTTGTGAAGGTTTATGAATATGCAAGATGAAGTACGGGGAGTGGAAGTATATATTACATCGAGTCTGATAAGTAATTAAAATATAATAATTTACCTAACCTAATTAAATCAATCAAAAGAACAGTACATAATCAATTAATATGATTTGTGGTATCGTACAAAATGAAAAGTACCCTTATATAATAAACACATTTAATTATTTACCTATATTAAACTGTCCTAATATTAGACATTTATCTTCATATGCAAATATAATAATATGCACTATTTAAGCATTTTACTTCTCGATTATTAAATAAATATAATATAGTAAATAGTATATACTATACGGATTACGGATATATTAGATCGATAATTTATTATTTTTCTTGAGTATTGTTCTACGTAGGCAGTACTATTTTTATTAACATTTAAAGTTCAAATGTTGACAATGTTTCTCAAAGTCACTAAAATTCGGTAATTGTTTTGTACTTAAAAATGTATAAATGTTAAACTTTTTGATAAGTAGCTCATACTGTAATAAAAAAAAACCAGAAAAAAAATCTTTAAAAATTGTATTCGTTGGTAGGTCACACAATGACATTTTCAAATGCAATATTTTTGGCAAAAATTAATTCAACCTATACTATTTTACTAATAGTAAAATATATTTTTTTAATAGCTATATCATAAAATATAACCATAGTAATATGATGGTCTTGTTTTGGTCTTGGTCTTGCAATTTCGGTATTGGTTTGGTCTTGTCTTGCAAGCCTATAATCTTGGTATTGGTATTGGTCTTGCAGCAAGAGTCTTGCGAGACCGCCAGACCAAGACCAATTTTGATCATCATTAAGGCTAAATAAAAAGTATCAAACTATTGAGGGTTAAAAGTGTACAAACAAAATGATTTTGATGAGAATTACGAGTTATCAAATGTCTAATCAACAAATATATCGTCTATAATAATATAATAGATGCACGTAGATATCAGTAAAGGTGCTCCGTGCCTGTTGTTGTTGTTGTTAAAGAAATATGTTTTAAATAATTTACTGCTAGTAGGTACCTAGGTAGTTTATCAGGTCGTGTTTGTTATAGGTCATCAAAACAATATTATTAACCTACCTATTATATGGCTATCATAAAGTCCTTAACGAACTAATTAGTGATTATATAATTAATAAAAAAGTATGACGTGCGGTAAAATGGTTTATCTTTAGACTTTAGGTATAAGCAGAATAAATGTACTAAAAAGAACTTTAGAGTGTAATACATTTTGCCCACTGTTTTTTCCTTCTTCTGTTTACAACTAATAGTTTCATAATAGGTAAATGCCATCGGAAAAAAACTTGTTGCTTACAATATTGATCGAACGTTTCTACATATTATCATGTATTTTTGTATAACTAATAAACAAGGTTAATTTATCAATAAATACTCATAATCCGGAAAAGTAGGAATTACAAATGTATTAAATATATTTTTACATAATTTCAACTTATAAGTTATTATTACAATTTACAATATACAATACCTACATGGCTACATATGAATTATACGGTAATCATTTACTATTAATTATTAACTTTTAAAAAAGTCCTCCAATATGTGATAGAAAATAATATGTACTACAATAAGGAATCTAAGAAAAAAAGATTCCCAAAAAAATTAATTGAAAACTTTGATTTTTGTAAACAATCCAATTTCGACTAAAAATTCTTAATAAATTAATTTGGCTTTAATTTTATTTAACTAATTTTACTTTTTTTTAGTTTTAGTAAATATATAAACATATATAATAAGAAATATAACCAGAATTATTCTGGTTTTAAATTTTTATTTTTTATGACTATTGACTGATCATGCATTATAAACAAAAATTGTGCATATTTATGTACGATATGTTTTAATGGTAATAAAAATAACTTATGTGGAACATTGTGTTAAATTGTTAAGCCATATAGCTATTTAAAATTGAAAATATAATTTTTAACTACAGCAGTTTGTAATTTTTTCGTGATTTTGACAAAATTTGTCAAAAGTTTAATTAAAACGAGTATTTGATGCTTGTGTATTTCAAATATATTTAAGTAAGAACAACTGATAAGGAATCCTATATACCTACATTTTCAAGCTGTTTGATTGAGTATAAACATTTCTATCAACAATAGCTTATTTTTCTTATTATTGCAATTTTTCTAAGAATTTCAATTATATTATAAAAATTGAATTTTATGTGAGTTTTTAGATAATTAGTTTAACTTATAACTATTATTATAAATATATTTTAAAGTTTAGATTTGGAGAGTGAAATAGCATATGGACAAGGGCACCTGAAAAAAAATGTTGATCATCCATTCATCCACTATTCGGTATTTCGGTTAATTTAAACTTATAGTATATAATATTATAGCAATAAACTTATAACTTATAACTAGGTAATTATTAATTTAGTATAATTAGTAATTTGGTAACTTAGTTCGAAAAGATCAAACATTTTGTATTGTAATATTTTAAATTATATAAAAAAATATTTACAGATAGGTGCCTTTCGAGATAAAGAATGCATACTTTTAAAATAAGCACTTTCTATAAATGTACAGGTAATATATTATCATAATTCATAGGCGCAAATAGCGTTGGGATTTGGGGGGGCTAAATCCTTACTTTGATAATATTAAATAAGCTTAAAACAAAATGTAGGACATGTTTGTGGGGGCTATGGACATTTAGCCCCTAAAGCCCCCCTCTTATTTGCCCCTATTATACTACTATATGTAGCTATTATAATAGTATAACTATTTTGTGGATATTCTAAAGAAAATGTGTATGTATATATTATTAATAATAACAGGCATATTTTGTCCTGACATTTTTTTTAATGCTCACTATTGATTTGTTTAATGTTGGGTAATTTCCATGCAACCAATTTTTCATGGCATATGGCATTATGTACTATAGGTAAATATTGAGATGCATTTGGAAACATTAATAGACAATCCTACTATCCTAGTGCCTACGTTTCATAAATAAGGACCTTCATTTGTTGAATAACGGCCACAACTTTAGATATTTTAATAGTTGAAAAAACGAATAAATGCATGATATAATTGTTTTATAGTATCATTCGAGTTTCAGCACTTTTCTGACTCGATTATTCTAAGAAAATATAGTAATAACGAGAGTAAAAATATTAAATTTCGAACGTAAAAATGATGTGCCTACTGCCTAGTATCAATATTAAAAGAATGTCTCACCTCCTCCGATAATTTTTCAGTTACAACCTTGATACAGTATTATGTGTGTGAAGATGATGGGTGTGACGTCTTCATATAAGTACACATTTTTGTTAAATTATTATCGTTAAAATTCCGCAGAAAACGTATTTAAAAGATTTAACCTATAATTTTGCAGTTGACATTTAGTTTTTTCAATTTTTTTCACACAGTTGTGAATATAAAATCAAAACTATAGGCACTTACATAATATTTCATATATATAGAAACATAGAAATTGAACTATAATTTATACCTAAGAGGAAATCAACTATAACGTTAAAAATGTGCTTTTGATTCTTAGTCGTCGTCGTTTGAGTATAATAAATAGAAGCGTTCATATCCACATTTTTGTATCAGAATTAATCATAGATTTCCATATACCTATACCTACAATTTACATTCATAATATATTTAATTATGGTTGTCCTCAATTTTTTTTCAATTTCATAAGCATTCAATATAGGCATTGAATTCAAATTGTATAATATACTTTTACATTTTAGACCCACTTGTTATCTACTGTACAGCAGAGTGACATCCACTTACCCTTTTTTTATATCTTGAAGCTATTTATTAGGATTCTGTTATAGGTATGTACTATTATGTACATTTTAGACAAAATTGTGTGTATGAAAAAAGAATTGTCGTAATTAGAAATCTTAAATGGTACACTTTCAGTCTACTAATAAATTATTATTTCATTAGTAAATACTAAATAATGGTATATAATAGGAAGATAATTTTTCATTAAATTAATGGGGGTTTCCATTAAAACAATTACGGCTGGAATTCATTAATTCCGGAATATCCTTTTTTGTTTCAGACACCATTATTTCTTTAAGAATAAAATAACGCTTCACTTAGGTATTAAGTTTTCACAAGTTTTCTAATGTATAATTCTCGTTTTAATATCGTTCACCGTTTGTTCATTGTATTGTATTATTATTAATTTTTAAAATATATTTAGGTGTCTACCTAAGTGTAGGTGTCTACTATTATATTACACGCGTGAAGGTATTTCACTATTATGTTATATTATTGTCTTATATTTTATATAGGTAGTTATATATTATGTTTCATATCAAATTTTGTCATTCTAAGACCTATCTGTTACAAAGTATTAACATTTAAAGTATTTTATTATTTTTTAACACTATATGAAAAAAAATTATCAGTTTACAAGTCTTGACCTTTGTCCTTATTTTATCCTATATATTTTTTCGAATTGTTTTATTGTGCGTATACACTATACAAGTGGGAGGGATTAGTATGCTTAACTTGTATTTGTCGGTCGCGGTATGACACTTTCTCTTCGACAGTCGTATAGCAATCTTCTGTCGCGGACTTACATCTCAGATATCCTCATCGGAAGCTGCTCTCAGTTTTGTCGTCTTCACACACTCATGAAAATTTGACTTTCACATCACTTGGCTTTTATATATATACGCCTTGTGATCTAACCCATGATCTTGATTTGTCGATTT